CAAATGGTGTAAACTGGATAATCAATTTAATAAATTTTTTTGGGAGTTTTAAAATTAAGTTCGAATGCCAAAACATGCTCATTGCCCCCCTACCGCCCAAAACAAGTTCACCGCCCCTCAGCATCCTCCCACCGCCCCCATTGAGAACCAATGCCCTAGACAGACCTCCCTTTATCTGATGTTGAAGAAATTTCAGGGCAGGGAGTGGGATTTCTGCTTACTATTACTTCTTTTGGGCAAGGACTCAAAAATACCCTTCCAAGCTGCCCAGTTTTGTGCTACCATCTGTATAATATGTTACACCATTAATTAAGTTTCAACACTTATTCATCACTTTTTATAATACTTTTTATTTTATTTTATTATACATGTACTTATTCATCCTTAGATTTTATTGTACTCATTGTTTTTCTGTTCTGTATGTATGTATGTAAGTACGTAACCTACCGTTGGATATGTTACTGTGCCTGGCCTTATGGCTGTAATAAACTGATTGATCTGATTACTGGGAAACCTCCAGCTAAAAGGTTCGAGGATCTTATTCGGGCCCAGGGGAGGGTCAGCAGCCAGAGGCAGCGCCTTCCAACAAGGCTACGCGGGAGAAGAACAGGACGGGGCTTCTGAAAGCAGCAATTCTCGGGGCTGGGACCAAACATCGCAACGTCTTGGACAAGCCCTGCGCGGCTGACCATCGTAAGCGAGGCTCCTGGCCGCCCTCCCATCCTGTACTTTCAGGCTGATCGGCCCCACCGTGGCGCGCAAGGCCTCCCCAGAAGCGTGCCCTCCTTCCGTACGCTGGAGGGCGGGTTTTCTCTCCCTCCCCGCTTTTCGTCCAGTCGGCTTCGCGTTTCAAGCCAGCACGTCTTCCGGGGATTATGGGAGCTGTGGTGTAAGCGCTGATGCCGCTGAGCAGCCAGCGTCGCAGATCCGCGCGCGAGAAAGGTGCTTCTGTTTGGTCCTGCTGGTATCGCCGCCTCCCCCGGCTTTCGCTGCTTGTTCCGATGGACGCGTCTGGTCGCTTGGTAGATTGCGCCTAAAAATGCAATGTAGCGAGAAAACACGTATGTTAACAAGGACTCAGAAAGACTCCTGCTACACTCACGAATCAGCAGGTCCCATGGTGTAATGGTTAGCACTCTGGACTTTGAATCCAGCGATCCGAGTTCAAATCTCGGTGGGACCTCGTGAGACATTTTTGCTTTACGGAGTTCCTAATAAATTCGAGAGACTCTTCGGAAAAACCTTTGGAAGGCAAAATGACCTCGCGGGCGAAACAGCAGCGAGGAGGGTGCGTTTTGCGCTCGCGACCAGCAGGAGTGGCTGTTGCGCATGCGTGCGTCTTTCGCCCAGGAGAGTACATGGAACGAGGGGAATCGGGGAGCTGCCAAAAGAAGATTCTTCTGCTTCTCATTGGCCAGCGCTGACAGAGTGTCTCCCGCTGCGATTCAACTATTGGCTAAAACGGGAAAGCGCAATTTGCGCTTCAACAGCAAAGAAAAAACCGCATGCGGCTTAAGTCTGTCCTTCCTGCTTTCTATCTTTTTTAAACCTGCGTCTCTCGGTCTTAATTTTCTAATCTTTTTTTTCTCCTACCGTCTCATAATCTTATCTTTGGTGATGCATTGAGAAAGCCAGCCTACTCTCCCGCACTCTTACTCGAAGTAACTGAACTGGGGAATCAAGATGCAAGTTTTTATTTTTTTACTTTCAATTTCATTTAGAATGGTGGCCTTCTGCGGCAATGCCAGGATTGGTGCAGAACAGCAAATTTCAACAGGTTGGTAGGTAGTTATGCAAGCACGCGCTTGCTGAAATTACCTTTTTATGTTGCCCTTACATGCAAAAATTAAATGCAGAAATCATGCTGTCGAGTTTTATTCTCCACCGCCCTCATTCTGGTCACCGTCGTTTGACAGCATCTGCTTTTTGGCCCTTTAAACGTCAGGTTTGGTTTACCAAAGAGGCAAACAAAAGCAATATATAAATATTGTACAATGCTGGGTATTAACTGGAAGATGGAAAAATAAGAATCAGGGTAAATAAATATTTTTAAATGTTAATCATGTTTTTTATTTAAATCAGTCTAAAATTAATGTTTCATAAAAAATGAACCTAGCTCAGAAATATTAATGTGTAAAGTTACTTCTAATTACATTCTGTTCTAGTTGCCAAGGGCTGTTTACTTATCTCTTAATGCTAATGCAGAGATGAGATGAGAGGTAAGTGGACAGACTGTAGCAGATCTCTGTCTAAAAGTATAAAGAATGAACTTCAGTCAGTAGAGAATCTGAGATCTGGCAAGAAGGAGTCTGAATTAAAAACTCAAAGAAAAACTGGGAAAACATTTCTGCCATATGATGATTTGAAGGAATACCTTTCTGGTCTTGAAGCATATAAAACAAGCCTGTTCATGACATCAGGTTGTAAAAAAAGACTCCATACAGCACTTCTTATAAGTAAGGCAAGCAAGGATACAGAATGCAGTTAATTAAAAGCAAATAGGCAGATATATGTTCTGTTCCACTTTGATCAGGATGTGTAGTCATGTACAGCTATAGACGCATGAACTGCATTGTCATCTTTTGTCTAGATCAGTGTTTTTCAGACTTGGCAACTTTAAGAAGTGTGGAATTCAGCTCCCAGTGTGTTGGCTGGGGAATTCTGGGAGTGGAAGTCCACCCGTCTTAAAAGTTGCCAAGTCTGAAAAACACTGGTTTAGATGGATCAGTCCTCCAAATACAAGATTTGAGTGGCTCTCCACTTGGGTTTACTATTTCAATTACCTGAGAGGTAGCAGTGGGTTTTATTTTAGCTGAATTGTGTATGTCAGAAAGACCTGTATTTCCCATAGGAAACATACAACGCACACACATATTCCTCCATCAGCAATCATAGATTAAAACCAACAGATTACAGAAGAAGCAATCAATGAAAAGAGTGCTCAGTTTATTTATGCAACAAATTCCTTTCTGTCTAGTTGAGAATGTATATTTTATTGACATGGTTCAGTCACTTTGATCAGGAGACCTTCCACCCAACAGAACAGATATTGCTGGGGAAAAATATATGACAAGTGTGCAACTCATAGAGGGGGAAATTGTTACCCTGAGGTTTGATAGATGGAGCAGTATCCACAATGAATCAGTCATATATACTTCTGTATTAACAGAAGAAAGGAGTACCTTCCTTACTGAAACAATCAGGAAAATGCACATGCTGTGCAACCTTTACAAGAGGTAGCAGTGAAAGCTATAACAAGCTCTCAAATAATTTGAATTGTCTTGTATGTAGCTTTATCATGGATGTTGCTGTAAGTGTATCTCAGATGAGGGAAAAAGAAAAAAGAAAAAATTCCTGAAACAAATAGTAGTGCTTATGTAATGCACCTCCTGGAAAAAGATTTCAGTGGTCCAACAACAAGGACTAATGTAATACCATTGCAAAGAACTTTTGAAATCACTACTTTGCAGCAGCTGTTCTGAAGAAAGCAGGGGAAAGCAAGTTAATTTTCCACAAGGTATCCAAAGGAACATATTTGTGGAAGAACTGGCTTCTGATGACAATTTCTGAGCAAATTTGGGGGAAAAAATAGTACTGTCACAGTTAAAGTTCTCAATATATGACTAAATAGAAGCACTGCATGGTTCATTTTCTAACTATCCTAAAGCCTATTTCTACAGCTTTGAACAAAGTTCAGAGAAATAACTTTCATTTCTGATGCAGTTTGAAAAAAACCAACCTTGAAAAATAGCTGACAACTGAGAAATGGGTGATAAGTGAGTTAAACCACAGGCACTATAAAAAAATTGAATGGAACAAGTGCTGTCTCCAGCTCATTTTCTAGCCAACTTTCCCGATGCTCAGTATTAGGGTTTGTCCTTAATTGCAGAGAGAAAGGAGTTGAATATGACATAGGCACCCAGTAGTCATTCTTCTATAATTCTAATATATTAAATTTCAGGGCAAAGCATGAGCCCCTGAAGTAGTTTGTGTTTTCTGAAGGGATAACTCAGATATTGCCACTTTTAATGGTAATAGGTTCTTTTGCTGCTATGGAAAGAGTATTTTGCTTCTTTGTAGTAATTCATTCTAAACTGAACAATTTGGGAATGAAAAGTTGGAAACCTTGTCTTTCTTTTCCAGAATCTGAATAAAGTCAAGACAGATATGAAAAATATTGGATCCGGTACCATTATTTAATGTTGCTGATTTTATTGAATTACCCATTTTTATTTTTATTTTTAAAAATTGTTAATAAAAAAAATGGGAGTATAATGCATATGCTCAGTTTTTGTTAAAACAATTATGTTTTTCTTACTTATTGATGAACTATCCAGAATAAACAACAAGAATGTACCAAAAGTTTGGTTGTTCTTCTATCACAGTAAAATATACTCTGGTTCAGATCCCTCCTATAACTTCACATTGTAACTGCCTGGTAATAACATAGTCATTCCATTTCATTTTTATGAAATTTATTCCCAAAATATTGTTTTGTATGATAAGTGTACCTTTCAGAAATGAAATCTGCATCTCTGTCAAATAATAAGAATAATGAACTTGTAATTGAACAGCAAATTTCCACTCCAGGCTTCTTTAAAACAGCATGCAGACCAAGATGTACAGTTATTTAATGCAAAAGTAATATGTTAAAAGCATCATGTTTTTGCAAACTTTACCTTGAGAAATTTTAGGAATGGGTGAAAATAATTGAATTATGAAGAGAGATATTATTTAAATAGTGCATTTCAAGCAGCTGAAAATGACTGACGTAGTTTAAAACTATCTGAAGATTTGGCATGGCATCCCCATTCTGCAGATGGGTGGCTAAAATAAAAGGTTGGGTTTGCATTTATGGGAAAAATAATAATTTTGTGGATTTACCCACTCTGCCATTCATATCCAAAATCTGCTTTTCAATTTTGAACGTTTGTTTAAAAATACAACATCAGAATTGGTTAACTTCAGGACAACCTGATTCTATCAAATTATGATAAATTTCTCCTTGTGATCTCTGCTCCTACTTCGTCAACAAAGCTGAGATGTGTCCAAAGTCAAATCAGAAAGGCTCAGAAACTCAAACCCCTATGAAAATGTTTATTCAATTCTGACAGTTTATGGAGTGCCTGGTGACTTCATGGGCACACCCGTGTAGTGTTCGTGGCAACCTTTTTGGGAAGAAAAGGATCTGTGCATGGAACAGCTGTGACAAGAAATCCTGGACAATGCCTCTTTAGGGGATTTACAAAGTAGGCTGATGAAAGCTTTGAAGACTCCTTTTAAATGCCAAAGAGTGATGAAAGATCAAATCCTGTGATGCCATAGGAATAATTTAAAGGTCAAGATTGTGCAGAGCAAAAAGAAGAAATATACAGTTGGACTGTTTGATTAGGGATAAACTATTTGTTTGATATTTCTGGTAACTCCTAATGGACTTTTTGCTGAACTAAGGTTGAAAAGATGAAGATTTCTGGGTTGCGTATAGATAAAAGTTAGGCTATGGGGAGAAGAGTTTTTTTTTATTTGTAACTTTAAAAGAGGGTGAAAGTTAGTATATTAGCTTATGCTTGGTGTGATGAAGGTTGGAAGCCTCTTCTTTATTATTGTCTTTGTTGCCTTTTTCTTTTCTCTTCTACTCTTTTTCTTTTCTTTTTTCTGCACTTTCTGCACTTTTCTTTTTTGTTCTAGTTTTGTTTGTATAATTTTACTATGTTTATTAAAAACTTCAATAAAATTATTAACAACAACAGCAACAACAGAACTAGAGGTATGCCCCCCCAACCCCCAACCCCCCTTGATCAAGAAATGAATGGCTACCATTGGGATTTTTGAGAAAAGCTTTGTACTAATCCTGAGACAAAGGTGAAAATGGATGCCACGAACTGGTGCCATGTTGCTTTGTCCTGGAGATTAAATGTCAAGTTTGTGCATAACTCAGTAGTAATAGAGGCCAAGTTACACACACCTGGTTACACAGTCCTAGCATTGCAGCAGCAGACATTCCATTTCATGTGTTTTCTGGTTTGTCCGTTCACAAATTGTCCATCCTCAGGTATGTAGAGGAATTTAGACAGTGGTGTGCTAAACTAAGAATTCTGGGAGTTGAAGTCCACACATCTTAAAGTTGCCAAGTTTGAAAAACACTGGTGTAGAGGCTCAGCTGTGCTCTCATCGCAAAATTGCAGAAACTTTAACAATTGACTCACACGCTAGTGTGAGCCGGTTCCAGCACACCACTGAATTTAGCTCTGGCCTCGAGAAGGAGGTAGAAGTGGTGAAACAATTGTTCAGCCCTGGGAAAACAGAAAGGGCAACCAAGAGACTCAGAACAGCCCAACCTTTGTTGATCTTAAAAGGGGGCAGGGAAGGATTTGGACAGGTTTTCAAGCTGCTGTTAATAAAACAATAAAATAGCATTCCTGTGGAGTCTGTTTCTTGACCTGACCCACCTTGAAGGGGTGACAGGTACATGGACCAAATCTTTTGCAGCCTCAAGGCTGGCCTGAGGAGAAGGGCAAAATGGCATTCTCGGGTTCTGTGCACAGAAGACTTTCTCAAATTTTATTTTAACACTGGTAAAGGGCTTGTTTATGAGGTGGACCCTCTGTCCTACAAGAAGGAGGAATGACCTGGGGAAATAACACAATTGCCTTCCCTCAGAGGCAACCATGGGGGGATCAAAAAGTCAAGATGGCAGCCATGACCACACAACTAAGTACCACCCCTTTTTCTCATGGCTTCCTCATACCAGTATCTGCTTCCTGAGGTAGTTGCCACATCTTGCCTAACGGTAGGTCTGGAACTTGGAGCTGCTGTCATGGTGTAAATCATTAGGGAGGTGCTTATAATCTCTTTGTGTAAGTATTGTAAATAAATCAATAACTTGGGACAAATGGAGTATAAGAAAAATGCATGTTGCCTGGCACTGACTCTTCCACGCCCTTGAAGTGCTTCTGTGGGGCTCACAATCGATATGGACTATGTTTGGGATTGCATTTTATGGATTAGGGCCCAGATGGACAAATCTAACTTTAGCATATAGAATTAAGTACATTTACTTAGCCATTCTACTTCTGAGGTGAAATAAATGAACTTTGAAAGTGGCAGCATGATTTTCTTCCCAAAGCCTGGTATTTTCAGCTCAAATCCCCCTTTCTCCTTGCCCTCTTCATGCCTTAACTGCATGCCTCCTACAATACTTGCTTGAGCTTCCATCGGATGAATAACATTAAAGCAGGCTATTTCAGTGCTGTATGAAAAAAAAATCTGCATTTTTATTTGAAACTATTACAGAGTCATATCTGTATTTCATAAAACAATTCACAAAAGCCAGCTCTGGAACTAAACATTTATTATATAAGATACAGTGATGTTGCATGATGGGAAGAAATGCACTGCTTTACAAAAACATAGCCCGATGATAATAGTACTGAGCGTGCGTCTGTCTGTCTGTCTGTCTGTCTGTCTGTCTGTCTGTCTGTCTATCTATCTATCTATCTATCTATCTATCTATCTATCTATCTATCTATCTATCTATCTATCGCCATTTTTCTAAATGCCCTGCAGTTGCAGTTCTTTTGCCTCAATCAGGTAGAGAAGATGAACATCCTATCTGGAGTAAGAGCTGGGAACTAACAGTAACAATGGGATGAGGGGTTAACTTGGTAGGAACATGGCAAAGCTCAGCTTGGAGAATTGCACATGCTTTCCATCTGCAGTCTTGTCTTTTCAAACAGCTTCTTCTCAAAACTAATTTTCTGTGCTGTAGTAAACACAGGAATTGAGATTTTGCTACACAGATTTGAACAACTGAGCCTTAAGAACATGTGATATAGTTCCCAGAATATTTTGAGAGGTAGCTAGTGATGGTAACTAAACATCATTCCCTTATTTTTCACCATAACTTTCTTTCTTATACTGAGTTTCTGTTGTGGAGTGGCTGATTTTTTCAGCCTTCAACTTGCTTTGTGGTAAGACCTCCTCGTGTGTGAAGACTGAAATACCTGTTCACTAAGTCTGTTGTCTAGACCAGTGTTTCTCTTAACCTTGGCAGCTTTCAGATGTGTGGACTTCAACTCCCAGAATTCCCCAGCCCCATGTTGGCTGGGAATTCTGGGAGTTCAAGTCTGCAATCTTAAAGTTGCATTGCTTGAGAGACATTGGTTTAGACATCTGATAATAAGATATTGCTTAATCAGTTAGTGCAAATAGGAAAGCTATGAAGTCACAGATGTAACTTTCTAAGAAACCTGTAAAATAAAAGTGAACAACTTTCAGTTCTAGATCAAATTTCTAAAGCCTTCCAGGTAGTGCAACCTGTTCCCTTCCAGGCAGCCTCTTGATGCCACGATTAGTCTTTTTTCTATTCCTTTCTATTCTATTCACATGAGTAGTCTTTTTTCTATTCTTTTTCTATTTGTAGCCTGCATCATTTCCCCCCCAAATAACCGAAACACCCAGAATAATTAAACTCAGAAATCTACTTTTTAAAAAAGCAGCAATTAAATCATAGAACATAGAATAATAATGTATTTTGGAGGACATCCCTGCTCAGACTTCTTCAGGAAATATATAATTTATAAAGACTACCTATTTACAAAATAACAAATAGACTTAAGTCCTAAAATAGATGTCCTCCTCCTCTATATATATCTTGGTCGTGAACTTGTTTCACTTCCTTTTTTTCTGTGGTGTAGTTAATTTCCATCCTGCCAAAAATCTCTAAGGATGGGGATCCTGTGGCCCTTCTGATATTGCTGAATGTCAGACCCCAGCATTGATCACATTACATAGAGCTGCTGGAAATTGTGCTTCAGTAATATCTGGAGGCCCATAGGTTCCCCAATCCTGATTTAGACTCATTGTATATGGATAAACATAATTCATACAGTCCTAATATATAAGGACAGCAACAAAGATCTTCTTTTGGTGGGGCCAAGGTCAGCTTATTGTACAACCTCCCTTCTCCTTGAATGGGTTCTTGTCTTCTGGGATACCTTTTAAGAGAGGATCTTCTGCAGCCATAGATTCTATATAATCTCTGAGTTCTTTTCCTGTCTTGGAGACCTATGTGAAGAAAAGATGTAGAATTTCATTTCCTGAACTTTTGTTTCTTAACATATAGCATCCAAATAGTATGATGGTCCTAGGAAATTAATGGGGACCCCTCCTACAAGTTCACTGAGGAACCCTCCAACAAGAGAATGAACAAGAATAGTTTTGCAAGGCTTTCTTTCATTCTCCCATGTTGTAATTCTAAATAAGGGCTCAAATGTACAACCTTGACTGCGTTCAGTTTTCTGTACAGTCAAAATGACTAATTTCCAAGTAATTTATTTTGCTTTTTTTCACTACCCCTCATTCTGTTTCTCAAGCCCTAAACAAATAGATTCAAAAGAAGATCTTAGTAATGGAGTCTAAAGCTGCATTTGGCACTATGGGAGCAATCTTCCTTGAGGCCAAAACTTTTCAATGACTAGTCTTCCCACCCTTTTAAGAAGCATTTTTTCTGCCCTCAAGTTTCACATGTGGGAGACTTGAAATTGGATCTGACCAGTGATCAGTGACTATTCAATACAGTTGTAGTTGTTGAATTTATTAAGTTTTTAATACCTGTATATTCTGTATACGCTGCTTATGCTATGTCCTGTTGATTCCCCTAAGTAGCTTTTAACATAGATTGTATTTTTTATAACTGTGCTGAAAATACCTTCACAGAAAACATTACTGTGTGGGATGACTAACATAAATTTTGCAAAATAAGAAAGAACTGGACATTACTTTTGCCCAATAACTTAACCTGCAGTTTGGATAACTATGCCATAATTTATCAAGTCTCACTTCTTCAAAGTACTTGGTAGGGAGATCTTTGAAACTCTGGGATAACATGAATTCCATTCAAATATAATTTTGTCTGCTCTGTGCTAATGATGTTTTCCCCAACATGTCACAGGATGGTTTCCTGTAGGTCATTAGTAGATGGGAAGTTCAGTTGCAGCCCCAATCCCTCCATGGAGATGGAGATGAAGATGAAGATGGAGATATCCTGGCCACTCCCACTTGGACAGCTTCATCACCAGAGGAGGCAAGAAAGATCCTTCTTACATGTATGTTCCTTAGGAATGCTGTGCTCTCTCTTGTATATTCTGCAATACCAGCAACTTGAAAAGTATATATCAAGCCTGCATCCCAGCCTGATTCAGATGAGCTGATTCCTCTTCCTGCAACTTGACTGTCTTAGCCAATCCAGGATAGTTGATAGCATGCAACTTGCTACCAACATTCTAGATGTGCCCAGTGACTAAAACTGTTGGGGACTCTATTTGTTTGCAAACATATTTACATTGTCTTAATATAATTTTGTGTTTTAAACATGAAAATTTAGCATAGTTATTCAGATGAAAAATTATTGGAATGATAAATAATATCTGATAAAATGCACTGGGAAGACCCAGTTTTAAAATATGGAAACTACAACACTGTGTGGTATTCTTGCATCACTATTAATTATTTCAGTGTGTCTCGTGTAAGTCAACTTTCCAGTGGGTTGTGCTCTTTGTATTTTATTTATTTCATCTTATTCTTTTTCTTTCTCTCTGACAATTTAATGTTCTGTGTTTCAGAAAGTTTGACTACACTGGCACCAACTGGCTGGACAAGAGAAAATCAGCATATCAGTCCCTATAACGTTTGAGCCAGCATAACACAAAGCTATGTAGACCAACACATCTGGAGTGCTGTTGATGCAGAAGTGCTGATTTTTTACTAGAGGTACATCTGAAACTCATTACCATTTGTCTTTCAGTCTTCACTTCCTTCTTCAGTTGATCTAATTCCATTTTCCTTAGCTCTTTCTCAGTCATATCCTGAGCCATGTTGCCCTGCAATACAAATACCAATCCATATTAACTCTCTAGACACAAACAAAAAGCCCATTTGTCAATCAGCTACAAACACAGCCAATTATGGCTTATTCAGTCCATCATAAATAGGCGTGAATCTAGCTGATCTCTTACTTCAGCTCCCCTTGGATTCCCATGTGTCTGCTTTGGGAAGAAGCAGCATTTTCTAAGAGAAAGAATATATTTTTAAAGCAAAAATAATGAAATGATCAACTGTAAACATGCCCTATTCTGTCTACTGATGCTGAGCTTGTTTGCCTCTAGATTTATCATTTGCTAATTCTCTGGATGATCCTTCAGGGTCAAGGGACATCAGCCCCAAGATCCAGTCCTTGCCCAAGGAATCATGAGCTACTGACCCTCAAAAACAAACCGTGAGTCCAGGGGTAATTCCAGAAGAGATGTCCATTATGCCCTTTCCTAGTTCATTCAGAGGTTCAGAGATTGTAGAGTTCCGTTTGTAACTGTCCTGTCTTTTCTGCCATTTCATTTTTCATATGATCAAAAATCCCCTAAGAGGACAAAATGAGAGAACTGCAGTCCTTGCTTTGGATTAGACAAGGCTTTCATTCTTAAACAGCCAGCTGTTTTCATGGAATTATTTGAGAAGATCCAGACTATGACTGCTCCCAATTGTAAGACTGTGGTGTTTTCCTGCCACTTCCTCAATCTTTTTTTTTAATCTCTAAGGGAGGAAAAAACAGAATTGCTGCACAGTGAATTCTAACTGATAGCACTTGGAGCCCTGACTGGCAGCACCAAGGAGGAAGAGGAGGAGGAACGCTGTAACCAGGACTAGAAGATGAGAAAGAGGCAACGAAGTACTGTATCCTGCCTAGGAGCAGCAAAAGTGAAAAGAGGTCCATAGTGGTTTATTTCATTTTTAAAAACTTGGTAACTTGCATCTAATTAATATCTGATATAATTTGGCCCTCAGCTCAGGACTCTGCTGGGTTTGTGTGTTTGTTTCCAGGCCACAATGCAATCTTGACAGTGAGGATTTTCAATCTTATTAAAAGAAATCTGAGTTAAATCAGTTCTATAGTTAAGAGGCTTATTCAAAGTCCTGTTACCATCACATGCTGCTACCCTGATTAACTTGGGCAGCTGTTTTGTGGCCAATCATCATACTTTTCAAAATGCAACTTTGCAGCCTCTGACGGTAGCAGAGGTATGTGATAATAATGTGGTAGGGTCAATGAAGGAGTTGGGATTTTTAGCATTTTTTCATTAGTTGGCTTTCTTTCTTTCAGTAAAGTCAGTATATTAGTGCGTTAGATGATTCACACTGAACTGAAAAAATAGAAATGAAAAACTGTGTTGCCAAATTTCAGCACCACAATCTTTGGAGGCTCCTGTGGGCCACAGGAAAGTGCTGGGGAACAAGAAAAACACAGAAAAGAAAGAATCCAAATGTTGAAGATTGGATATTTAAAGTTATGGACTTGGCAGAGATGGCAAAACTGACATGACTAACGAGAGAGAAATCTCCAGAGGCTTTTATTAAAGACTAGAGTCCGATTATGGATTATATTATAAAAAGAGAGAAAAATAGCTTGATGATAAAGGGTTTTATAGATTAAATAAGGGGAGATAATGGAAAATTTAAATAGTAATTACAGTGGTATAAAAGAATAAGAAATAGTTAATGGATCTGTGAGAAAAGTGAACAGCGGAAGTGGACTATATGTTTTTTAAGTTAGATGTTTAGTTTTGTATTTGCAGGTTTATGTTTTTGTATATGTTTTTGCATTTTTGTAATGTTTATTTTCTGTGTAGAATTTTAATAAAGTTTATAAAAAAGAAAACCAATTTGCCAGTTTAACAAGTCTGTAACTGGTTAATACCTGCAGGGAGGGTCACCAGGAAATCTCACCACTGTCCTGAAAAGTAGAAAAACTTCCTGGAAGAAGACTACGGCAAATAAGTTCAATATGCAGTTAAAAAAAAAAAAAACATGTGTCCATTAAGCCAGAGAACTGAGCTTGACTTGAAAGAGATTTTACCCCCTTAGCTCTGGGGACATGCTTGAGTTTTTTTTATGAGCAGACATTTAGGAAGACAATTCTTTGTTTCTATTGTCACCAATCTAGTACATTGAAGGTATGTTAGACACCAATTGTCAGCCAACCAGCATGCTAACTGGCTGTGGTAGCTAAAAATAAAAATAGTGGCTATAACGCAATATCTCTAGAGAGTTCTAGGTTGGGGAACGATGCTTTACTGCTTTATATCAGTTGGGATGAAAACTATTATTTCTTACATTCTTGGGCAGAGGAATGGGAATACACAGATAGACACACAGGTATATTTTTACCCCAAGGGATATTGACCTGTTTTTGCAAAATGAATCATGAATAACATTTTTCTAACCTTGTTGCTATTTGGGGGCAGGAGGTAAGAAGTTGCCCTTCACTAGACTTTTTCCATCCATGAGATCCAAAGCGATTTATTTTGCTAATGAATTAAGCCTCTCCAGCCTTCTGGGCAGAAGGTAAGCCTTATCTGTATTTTGGAGACTGAGGACGACAACGAGGGTAAAGCATTTTAGAGGCTTCTTCAAGGTCATTAAACAATATGAGGTTAGGCTTTGGGATTCTGTTTGTCTCCATTTTAGTCCCAAATTGTTTCACGTACAGAATAGCCATTTTTGATTCTTTCAGCCCCTTTTGCTTTCCTGAGGTGCTTTGTGAATGCACAGCCAGGGGAGAATTCTGCTTTGAGGGGTCTAGATTTTGGCTGAACTCAGTACAGCATATAATTGTATGGTGAGAATTTACAGAATGGGTGGTTCATACCAAAGTTTTTAAAATGGGGTCTTTACCAAGACTTTGGCAGCCTGAAGTACCATTGAAATGGTACTGCCCTCCAATCAGGGAGAATACTTGAAAACATCTTGCTTACTGTTTGGAAACCAGTTCTCACTTTCATCTCTTTCTCTTCCCCCAACCCCCCCATCCCTCACTACTCCACAGGTTATATATTTAATCCCTTTCCCTTCTGTCACACTAACATTACAGTATGGTGTTAACTGGGAAGGATTCAGACTCAGGACTCCATGTGGACAGGTCTACCCATCTTTGAGTCCTGATATTATACATGCCCTAAAGCACGTCATTTCATAGAGGAAGGTCAGGCCTGATCCCAAGAGAGGTTGAAGGACTTAAAAAAATAATGGTTCTGGAATTATAAAGACTTTTGCAAATTCTGTGGATACAGTGATGAATCATCAGATCCAAAAAAAACTTTTTATGTACTTTAGCATGAGTCAATCCAAATTTTGAAAAATGCATTTCATTTTATTTTTCTCAAAAAATGAAGCCAAAAGAGTGATGTAAATGTAGAAATGTTGTGCTGGAATACAGGATGGTTACTAAAAACATCCTGTAACTTACAGTCTCTGTAAGATTTCCAGGAGTTTAGTAGGATGGTAGCTGCTAGAATGTGCATTAGAGCTTTTGCATTAGAAACTTATCTTAGACTACTGGCTTTCAAACTGTGTTCCAGGGAATGGGGTTTCCATAATGGGAATTAGTTATTAGAAACTGATCTAGAGTTAACTGTGCTTAGAGGAGGTCCCTGAAATCAGTGGGAATGTTAGCCATGATTAATTTGTTCCACTGATTTCAGTGGGTTTTCCCTAAGCTTGCCTCTGATTACTATTTTTATTTCATTCCATCTTCAGAAGATTTCAGAGCAGTATGCACAATTTTCTCTCCCTTATCTTTACAACAACTAGTTGATTATACTGGGATATCACAACACTTCCCAGAATCCTTTGCAGCACAGGTCCAGCTTCACATCAGTGAGGGTGTCTGTACAAAACAATCTCTGGTTACCCCTTCTCTCTTGGTAGGCACATCGAGCTTCCTTGGGAACAACAGTAATCCATGGCTAAATTTAGCCACAGTATCTTCATATGTCCCAGAATTATGCCCTCGCAACTGACCAAATATTCCAAGTTTTGGCTCCAGAGAGTGTCAGAGGTCTTGTGAGTTATGAGGAAGGGGTTTCTGATCAGATAAGTCAACGTGGAAAACAGCTCTTGAACTATACAACCTAGAAAAACATGGGCAGAATCAAAATCCAAGAGGTGAAAGATGGGTATTGAATTGAACTTCAGTCTGGCAGGTAGATGCCATAGGGAACCATTTACACTCTTTTTACCCCTCCTGATAAGAATCAGTCACAACTTTCTTTCCCCCTCTGTGCTGCATCCATAAAATACTGTTTCTCCTTCAGCGCATTTTACCACTGGGACACCAATACTGAATGTAGCCTGCTTGAACCTGCTAAATCAGCCAATGTTCCTTTTGCCAATGCCAACAGAGTTTCTAACAAGGGGAACTGATAGCAAGATGGATTGAGTAATAATTGACAAATTATCCCAGAGGCACAGCTTTTCAAAACTTTTAAAGCGTATGAAGAATATTACCTTTTTGAATTTCAGTTTCTTGACCTCCAGTAAGCCTATACCACACCCTACATTCTAACATCTCTAGGTCAAAGTATTGTTAGTGTATGACCCTTCCTCCTCCTCTTCCACCAATTTAGGGTTTGTGTAAAATACAAGCTTAGCTTTTTTGCCAAGCTTGGTGCCCACATTAATGTTAGGCAGTATGGCTTTTTAGACCAATTAAATGAACCTGTTGGTACAAGACCACTGTTGCCTGGAATAGAACCTTAACTGGGACTGCCTGAAAAAAGGAGGTCCAGTATCAAATTTATGCTTTTATTAGCAATTCCTATGACCCTGTCTTTCTAGGAATCTCACCCTAAGGCTTGGGCGTGGCCTGTGAAAAGAATCACGTATGGACATTTAAGCTGAAACAATTCTCAAGCAACTCAGGACTTAATCAGAATGTATTTATGAAATCTTCCAGTAGTAATGTATGGCTGTGAGAGCTGGACCATAAAGAAGGCTGAGCGCCGAAGAATTGATGCCTTTGAACTGTGGTGCTGGAGAAGA